CCACCAGGTTAAATGAGACAAAAAAAATTCTTTTACCACTGTATTACATTAAAAAGAAATTTAATAGGCTTCAAAACCGTCTGCTAAAAATGTTTCTTTTAATGAAGTAGCTACTACTATGAGTTCTCTCTAAAACAGGGATGGGGGACGGCAAGGGTGATTCTGTTTTAAAAGTTCTGACCAATTAAAAAGGATACAAAACATAAATTTTAATAGCAAATATAAGAAAGTAAGAAAATATTTTTTGTAGTTGATATATTTGGATACCTAGAAGCGTCAGAGGCTCAAGTAAAAATTATTAAAATTTAAGGAAACTGATTTAAGTAGCCAGAACAGCATGATACACAGAACAGCAATGACCATTTTTTCTTTAATTCCTTCAATAAATATTATATGCAGTTACTGTTCTAAATACTAGGGATACAATAGAACAAGAGAGACACAAATCTTGCTCTCACTGAACTTACATTCCTAAGGGAGGAGACAAATAATGATATTTATTTTAGCAATTTGTGCATGTGGTGCTTATGTGCCATATTCTTATTTTTCTCAGTGTTTCTCTCTTTTACACACACACAAACACACAAACTTTTTTAAATCATGCAATTTAATGGCCCTATGAGGTAAGTTCTATCATTATTTCCATTTTAAAAATGTGAAAAATGAATCCGAGAGAGATAAGGAAGTTGCCCAGGGTCATGACAGTGAGTGGTGGAGACAAGTTTCAAATTTGGGCAATTCACGCTCCTAAGTCAGGTTTGATTAGAGATATGAAGAAAAAGTTGAGCAGAATAAGGGGATAGAGAATGGCAGGGGTACTATTTCATTTAGGGTATTGAACAAAGGCTTTGGGATGAGATGGCATTTAAAAGTGACCTGATAGAAGTAATAATTTAGCCATGATGTTATCTTAGGATAAAAGGAATTCCCAGCAGTGGCAACAGCAGATGCAAAGGTACTGTGGTTGGAGCATGCATGATGTATTCTAAGTGTGGTGAGGAATTCAGTGTAGCTAAAGTAAGTAATGAGGAGAATGGAAATGAAGTCGTATAGATACCTATAGGCCATGATATAGGATCTGGAGACCATGTACAGACTTTGGATTACTCTGTTAGAGATAGGAAACCATTAGGAGATTCCAAGCATAGATCTGACATAATCTAACATTTTTTCATGAAGAAGATAGGCCCTCAGCTAACACCTGTTGCCAATCTTCCTCGTTTTTTTTTTTTTTTTGCTTGAAGAAGATTGTCACTGAGCTAACATCTGTGCCAATTTTCCTCTATTTTGTATGTGGGACACCACCACAGCGTGGCTTGATGAGTGGTGTGTAGGTCTGCACCTGCGATATGAACCCATGAACCTCGGGCTGCCAAAGTGGAGCACATAAACTTAACCACTATACCATCAGTCCAGCCCCAATCTAACATTTTTAAAAGGCCCATTCTAATAGGTTTATAAAGACTAGACTATAGACTTGCAAGATTGGAAGCAGAGAGGTTAGTTAGGAGGCTTTCACAATTGTCCAGGAAGAAGATTGCTTGGACCAGGTGGTAAGAAGTGAGTAGATTTTAGATGTATTTTGAACGAAGAACCTATGAAATTTACTGATAGATTGGCTCTTTTGGGGTATGAGGATGAAAAGGCAGCATGATTCCATAGGTTTTGGCTTGTGTAATTGAATGAATAGTTGCTGTTTACCGAGAAGGAGAATATGGGGAGGAAACCACATTGTCAGTAAGGAGGATCAGGAATTTTCTTTTGAAGATTTCAAGTTTTAAGGTGCTGTTTAAACATCTAAGTGGAGGGGCCGGCTCCATGGCCGAGTGATTAAGTTTGCGTGCTCCGCTGCGGCAGCCCAGGGTTCGGAACCTGGGCACGGACATGGCACCGCTCGTCAGGCCACGTTGAGGCGGCGTCCCACATCCCACAACTAGAAGGACCTGCAACTAAGATACAGCTATGTACGGGGGGCTTTGGGGAGATAAAGCAAAAAAAAAAAAAAAAAGAAGAAGAAGATTGGCAATAGTTATTAGCTCAGGCGCCAATCTTTTTTTTTTTTTTAAAAAAAAAATCTAAGTGGAGATGTTGAGTAGGTAGTTGAATATATGAGATATATGAGTCTGCAGACTGGGGCAGGAGCTACACATTTAGAAATCATGAAGTCATGAGTGATTTTAAACATGAGGGCCTGGATGAGCGCACTTAAGGATGATTATAGATAGAGATGAGGTCTGAGGATTGAATTATAAGGCATTCTGACATTTACAAGTGGGGGCAATGAGGAGGGTCCAGCAATGGATCTTGGGGAAAAGTGGTCAATGAAGTAGAAGGCGAATTAAGTGACTTAGATCCCCAAAGTCAAGAATAAAGTGTTTTGGTAGAAGAAGTCATCAACATTGTTAAATACTGCCAGAGAATTAGACAGGATGAAGACTGATGATTATGTTTGTTGATGAGGAGGTCACTGGTGAACTTGCCAAGAGCAGTTTTGGTGCAGTGATGGCAATGAGAGCCTGTTTGAAATGGCTGCAAGAGAGAATGGGAAGAGAAGAGATGGAGAGAGTGGATACAGTGAGCTCCTGAATTTCACCTTAAAGACAACAGCTTGTGGGATGATGTAAGATTAAGGGAGAAGTTTCATCAATATTAGAGATATTATAACATGTTTGCATGTTCATGAGAATGAATTAGTAGAGAGAAAAATTGATAATGCAGGAGAAAGAGGGCCATTTGCTGGAGTGAGTTCCTTCAATGGACAAGAAAGCATGCAATCTAGTGCATAAAGTGGAACATTTGGTTCCATAAGAAATTATGTATTTTTCAGCCATTGTAACAGGAGAGGTGCAGAGTGTATGAATTAAAATGTGCAGTGTTGATAGATACAGAAGTTCTCCGTTGAATGTTTCCATTTCTACGAGAAATAAGCAGAATCATTTACTGAGCATGAGGAAGCGAGATGCTATGGATTGAATTGTGTCCATTCCCTCCTCTCCCATCCAAGTTCATGTGTTGAAGCTTTGACCCCTAATGTGATGATTTTTGGAGATGGGACATTTGGGAGGAAATAGGTTTATATGAGATCATTAGGGTGGGGCTCTTATGATGGGATTAGTGCCCTTATAAGAAGAGATACCAGAGAACTTGCTTCCTCTCTCTTTCCCTGCCATGTGAGTACACAGTAAGAAGGTGGCCATCTGCAAGCCAGGAAGAGAGCCCTCACCAAGGAACCATATTGGCCAGCACCTTGAGCTTGGACTTCTCAGCCTCTAGGACTGAGAAAATAAATTTCTGTTATTTAAGCCACCAGTTAGTGATATTTTGAGATGGTAGCCTGAGCACACTAATACAGGAGAGGAGGTGTTAGAAATTTGGGAAGTTGTATAAAAGTAATATAGGAAAATAGTAGAGCAAATTGACCAAGGAAATGTAATAGAAAGTTTGGCAGGCAGCTGTGAGGTCTTAGGTATGATTTTTATTCATAAATTTAAATTGGGCTGTTCAGCATGGTTTTGAGTTTTATTCTAGCTATATTCAGCTACTTCAGTGCACAGAGGAGTGTTGGATACCCAGGTTTGAGTTATTGTGATACATGATGGAAGGATGGGAAAAGGGCATTAAGGTGTTCACAACCACACAGTAAACACATTGTATAGAGATCATGTCAACAGTGGTGATAGAATTATAAATAGTTATGATTGTGAGACATATATTATCCATTAAATAAATTCTACCGAGAGATGTGGTAGGTTTGCAATGTGTCCCCTTGGTTACATTTCCCAGAATTCCATTTCCTGCATATTTCCAGTTAGAATGGGCTGCTAGCGACATTTTTCTAGGCTATTTGGGAAGTGGTAGTTAAACAGGAGCCATTTTGTAGTTTGCACATAGTGGTGTTGTCTCAAACCTTGGTGTGGGACAGTAGCTGAGTCTGCACTTTCACCACATTTCCCTGGGTCCTTTTTCAACTCTGCTACTCCTGGCAGGTGTGTGTTTACTCCATGATGAAAGACACCAAGTTTCTGCATAGGATACCCACATTATGACGATCACAAGTGGTGAGAATTGACATGGGTTTTGTTCTTTCTTCATGGGTTCTAGCTCCTACTTGGGAGTTCCAGCTTGTCCTTGCTCTTCCCCATGCTACATCCATCTTCATTGCCTGATTTCCCACCACAGACTTCAAGCTCTAGCATCACATGAAAGGTAGCAGCCTTACAGACGCTGTTCAGCCAGCTCTCATAATTGCATAAGACTCAGTCCCAGTAACAAATTCCTTATCTTATATACAGTGGTTCTAAAAAAATGGAAGGACGTGTAATGGAAGCTGGGAAGATTAACTATTGTATAGTTGTCAATCTCCCCAAATTCATTTATGAATTTAACAGCCCTGAGAAAAATCCAAGTGGATACGTCTCAGAACTTACAATGCCAGTAAGAATACTTTAATAGTAAGTATGTGACAAAGCACAGAAAACTATTGTGCTGAATCCCTGAGGAGGCCTGGTGTGAGAATAAGAATAGAACAAAAAGTAGCCAAATTCTGCGCCATGCTTGGAAGTATTAGTTAAATTGTTGAAACATCTATAGCAGGAAATCATAAAGTAGGAGCTAAGATTTTCATTTCAGATCTCAGGAATCAAGAGGAATAAAATTATAGTTATAGCTTGCACATATATGGTGCTTTATGTGGAGACCCTCATTTTCTAAGTGCTATACACACATTATAAGTGCTACACACCCACTTACACACACACCAGCCCATTTAATCAAGACAACAGCCCTATGAGGTAGGTCCTGTTATTCTTTCTATTTTTCAGGCAAGAAAATTGAATCACAGAGAGATTAGCAACCTTGCCCAGGATCACACCAGAAAGTGATAGTAATGTCACACCAGAGATTAATAGAGGTCAGAACTCCCCTCCCACCCCAGCCTCTTGCATTTCCTCATTGTGATGCGAGCTCTGCTTTTGAGAACTTCACCCTGGAAGAGCAAAGGCAGGCAGGCGACGGAGTGGACCAATACCTACAAGGTCCTCTTGAGAGGAAGGCAGCAGTAATTGACCCTGTAACTAACTGAATGCATCTGGACTGTTGAAGATGGAGAAAATCATCTCCATGAGCAGAGCTAAGTAAGAACAATTGACGCCTGTCATTATTCTTGTGGGTTGCTGGGTTGTTGGAATAAGGTCAACAGAGTGGTCCAGGGCTAGACTATTGAATGAAATAAGTTACAGGGCAAGAAACAAGACAAAGTCGTTTAATATCCTGACCTTATGAGTGGGGCATTTTAGCATACCAACATAAGGACACTCCTTCACCTCCCTGTCATGCCAAGTTGGATCACCTCACCTGAAGGATAAGTAATCAGAATAGAGAGGGAGAGATGTCATGTTGCTCCAGGCCTTTAAACCTGTGGTCTCATAGTCAAAAAAGGCAGTGACAATGGCTAGAACACGTTCTGCCTCTGGGGAGTAGGAAATTGTCCGTGTGTGTTTGCGGAGAGGGAAGGTCTTGGAGGATTATTTTTCATAAAACGCCTTATAAGGTTTTTAAGTCTTTATGTGCATATATGTCTCTGATTTTTAAAAAATGTACTAAAAACTATAATGAGATCCAATTCTTCACCAATCAATTTAGCAAAGATGCTAGTAAGCCTGGGATGAAAATTCTAGTAGGTGTATGATAGAATGCTTCAGTTATTGCTGGTGGCAGAGTTAATTGGTTTGGCCTTACAGCAATTTATCAATATGTATGAAGAGTCTTAAGAAATCTGATGTTCCTCTGAACAGTAATTCCACCCCTAAGAATCTACCATAATAAAATAATCCCATATATAGAAAAGAGCTTTACGTTCAAAGAAGTTCATAGGATCATCATTAATAATTGTCAAAAAGTGGAAACAGAATGTCCAATCATAAGGAAAGAATTAAATAAACCCGTGTTATATTCACTCATTAAAACATTACTCACCAGTAAAAATATTTATAAAGATTATGTAAGAACATGGAAAATGCTAATGAAATAATGTTAACCGAGAAGAGTAAGATATAAAACCATAAACACAATTACATTTACTTTTTTCTTTATTGCAGCAACATTGGATTATAACGTTATATAGCTTTCAGATGTACATTGTAATATATTTTGAATTCTGTGTAGATTACATCATGTTCACCACCTAAAAACTAATTATAGTCCATCACCTCACATGTGAACATAGTCACCCCTTTTACTCTCCCCCCTTCCCCTATGGTAACCACCAATCCAATCTATCTTGCTATGTGTTTGTTTGTCGTTGTTTTTATCTTCTACTTATGAGTGAGATCACATGGTATTTGACTTATTTCACTTAGCATAATACCCTCAAGGTCCATCCATGTTGCCACAAATGGCTGGATTTCATCATTTCTTATGGCTGAGTAGTATTCCGTTGTGTATAAATACCACATCTTCTTTATCCATTTGTCCCCTGATGGGCACCTAGGTTGCTTCCAACTCTTGGCTATCGTGTATAATGCTGCAATGAACATAGGGGTGCATGTATCTTTACACATTTGTGTTTTCAAGTTCTTTGGATAAATATCCAGCAGTAGGATAGCTGGATCATATGGTAGACCTATTCATAATTTTCTGAGGATACTCCATACTGCTTTCCATAGTGGCTGTACCAGTTTGCACTCCCACTAGCTCTATACAAGTGTTCCCTTCTCTCCACATCCTCTCCAACACTTGTTTCCTGTCTTGTTAATTATAGCCATTCTGACCAGAGTGAGGTGATATCTCATTGTAGTTTTGATTTGCATTTCCCTGATAGCTAATGATGTTGAGCATCTTTTCATACGCCTGTTGGCCATCCGTATATCTTCTTTGGAGAAATCTCTGTTCAGATCTTTTGCCCATTTTTTAATTGAGTTGATGTTTTTTTGTTGTTGAGATGTACATTTGCTTTTTAAGAACACATATTTTTTGTCAAAGGCTTATAAGACAAAAGAACAAAACCGTTAGAAGAAATAGTTGAAGGAACTGGTAAGAAAATTGATGATTTTCCCCTCTTTGTTCCTACTTGTTTGGATTTTCAAGTTTGTTTATGAATATGTTTTGAATGAAAAAATTAAGTTATATGCAGTAACAATAGTGTAAATTTAATCATCAGAAAGAAAGAGAAACTGTAATAAACAAGCCTGAGCCCCTTAAGCCCCTTGTCATTAAGACCAATGGAAAGTCCCAACACTTAAAATGTAATTTAATGTTCTATTGTAGCTGCTATAGGAGTAGCTTTCAAAGTGAAGCTCATAATGCAACCTAAAATAAATAAATGTTCTGAGTATGTGGCAGAGCTGAGTTTACTACAAATCAATTGATTCAAAAGCTTTGTTGTGATTAACCTGCATGGACCAGCTGATTTAACTGAAATCTTTGGTTATATTGCATCCATCTTGCTTATTCCGCTGAAAAAACTAATAGTATAATGGGAAAGGGTGAAAGTGGGAAGTGAGGAGAAATTATGGACAAACGTGTTTTAGATTACAGACTCTTCTAGACTGTAGCTCCGAGGTGGAATTATTCATTGGCATGAATGCTTCTTTTCAAAACTGTTTATGGTTCATAAGCAAAGGTGTGTGTATGTGGCAGATTCTCTCACATTTCTATGCAGCTACTTGAACCGGGATTCGAGTTAGAGATGGCAGCCAGGCCTTCTAATTTGGGACCAATTAACGTGATATTTTTTATTTTTCTTTTTAAATTTCTTCTGAAGGACTGGTTGCTATTAGTGCATAGCTTTTTAGAAATGTTTAAAAGCTAATAAACAGAATTTCTTGGGTATTGCCCTAAAACTAGGGTTTTAGTATATTTTAAAGAAAAAAATCCAGCCATTTGTGACATGGATGGACCTTGAGGGCATTATGCTAAGTGAAATAAGTCAGACAGAGAAAGACGAAACTATACGGTATAACTAATATTTGGAATCTAAAAAAGGGAAAGAACGAGCTCACAGATAGAACAGATTGGTGGTTGCCAGAGGTGAGGGATCAGGGGTGGGTGAAATGGGTAGAGGTGATCCAAAGGTACAAGCTTCCAGCTATAAAATAATGAAGTCCTGAGGATGTAATGTACAACGTGGTGGCTGTAGTTAACAATACTATATTGTATATTTGAAAGATGCCTAGAGAGTAGATCTTAAAGTTCTCATCAAAACAAAAAGAAATTGTAACTATGCATTGTGACCGATGTTAACCAAACTTACTGTGGTAATCATTTTGCAATATGTACATATATCAAATCATTCTGTAGTACACCTAAAACTAATACAATGTTATGTATCAATTATAACTCAATAAAAAAGATAAAAGATTAGAAAAACCAAAATAAGTAATGCTTTTGGATAAATAAATCCAAATTACACTGATAGACTCACAAGATACTATATACAATTTTGCTTTTGTTAAAAAGTACCCCTTGGGGCCAGCCCGGTGGCACAGTGGTTAAGTTTTCATGTTCCGCTTTGGCGGCTTGGGGTTTGCCATTTCAGATCCCGGGTGCGGACCTACACACCACTTAAGCCATGCTGTGGCAGATGTCCCACATATAAAGTAGAGGAAGATGGGCACAGATGTTAGCTCAGGGCCAGTCTTCCTCAGCAAAAAGAGGAAGATTTACAGCAGATGTTAGCGCAGGGCTAATCTTCCTCAAAAAAACAAAAGTACCCCTTTCCCTTCTTTTCCAAATGAGGTATTAGTTATTCTTTATGACAAAAGATAATAGTAAAGAAAATATATAGCTCCTTCTATGCATTGTGGACATTTGAAAATTTTAGATGATAGACATATGTAATAGATCAGGTCACTACATTTTTGCTTTTTTCTCTTTTTTTGCATTCCCAATAAGATATTCATATTACAGGAATTTGTACATTCTGTCTACGCCGACACTATCTACTTTTTTCATTTTCAAACTCGACTGCTGCCTTCAGCATTGTGCAATGTTTGGCTAGCACCATGTTTTGGCTGTGTCACGAGTTTCTTATGTTATACATTATTGCAGTAGATTTTGTTATTGATTCCAGATATGTTTATATGTCTTTCTTGTTCTCAGTTTCTGGAGGTTAATCCTTTTCTTGCAGAAAGAAACCTGGGAATCCTTGAGAGCTGGATGAAACCATCACAAAAAATGAAAAAGAATCATAAATGAATGAAGTCTTTGGAGAGAAAACTGCAAACTGACTCAAAGGAAAACCTTCCCTAGGTCAAAACATAGACACATTTAAAAATATTCTTACGTGTAGTCCCTTCACATTCTTGCTGAGTATAAGAAGTAAAAAAAGTGTTCAATGAGAGGTTCTTAAATGCATAATATAGTATATAGGCTTCTGGAATCAAAACTGGGTTTGTATTTGGCCATCAAAAGAAGAGCAGCATGCCAAAAGTGGCCAGGAGAGTAGCTTGTAGTGTTTTTCTTGGTTAATCAGTATGATGGAGAGGTGGACACAGGTGGATTTATCTTGAAAGCTGTTCTAGCCAACCAGCTTTTCACAGAGAGGGCTCCATTTTAATCTCTGTCCCAATATAACCAATATATGAATACACATGAATCATTGGATGTATCTTAACAGTTTCATTTTTATCTACTATTGCTCCTTTAAAATTTATTTAGTTGAGGAAAGTTTTTCTCTGTCCATCAGATTAAAACTTAGCAGATCCCAAAATGTTTCTCCTCACTCTTACAGTATGCAGTTACTTTAGGAAATAAGATCCAGTCTCAATGCAAAATTTAAAAAATAATCCAGTGTGAGATATTAATTAGCATTTTGATTTTTAATCCAGATGGAGAGGCCCAGGCCTGTAGATGGTAGGCTGCGGCATTTGAGGAGGAGAATTTATCAGTAACTTTCCTGGACTTGGACTTCTCAAGTGGTGGTTTTGGGCCATGCCACAGTTGAAGCGGGAGGCGGGAAGAAGGGGAAAGAGGAAAGGGATGTTCTTTCCTGGCTTGTGACTGGTATCTTCATAAACTGGCTTCTCACTCTGGTCCTGGCGGGTGTTTGCAGCTGATACTTTTTCCTGTGGCTTCTTGAAGACCCCCAGTAGCCCTTTGTAGTGGCAGCTGTCAGCATGAGTAGTCTCTCCTTCTGCCCTCAGCCCTGGTGTTGAGACATCCTCCATTTTGATGCTGCATCCATGTCCCTTTATGCTCCAGACCAGCCCTTTCCCCTCAGGGTCACATTGGGTCCATGGGAATCAAACATTCTGTAACTTTTACTAGTGGGAGTATAGTTCCTTTGCAAACATAGCTTTGTCCTCTCTTTATTATCCTGAAATAGGCCACTTTAACGTTCTCAGTCTGTGGCCTCCTCCAACTATGGAGAAACTCAGGCCTTCCAGGGGCTCTGGCTGAAGCCTTTACCTGCCTTGAAATGAGGGGTGACAAACTCCTCTCCTTTCCCCATGGGGAATGGAGGTGGGGCTCAAGCCCAACTTTTTCCATAGTATCCTTTTCATTCTCTGAATGCCAAGGCCCCTTTTTATATTCTTAATCTGACTGAGTGGCCCAAGAAGTGTAGAACCAGTTTTTGCAGATTTTATTTGTGAATTCTGCACTTTGTCTGGTCCTCACTTTGGCTTTTGTGTTTTGCTGCCTGGACCAAAACTTCAGTTAACACAGTTACACCGATGTCAACTCCCATGACAGTCATGTTACTTTGACCTGAGCTTAAGATTGTCAGAGAAAATAGAAGACAACTATATAATTTGAATTTTAGATAAACAGTGAATAATTTTTTAGTGTGTGTATGTCCCACACACTATTGGAGACATATATAAACTAAAAAAAAATTCATTGTTTGTCTAAAACTCAGATTTAACTAGGCATCCTGTATTTAATTTGCTAAATCTGGCAACCTTCTCTTTGTCAAAACACTTTAAGTGCAAGTGAAAAACATTTTGATAAAAATTTCATTATCTGTAGGGCTGTATATGTATGTAGATACAATTTGGATAATTAGGTGCAATCTATGTGAGAGGCATAATAACTGTTCAGCAAATCTGTGTTGATGACAATATGTATGGTTCTGCCATATATATTGTATGTATGTAGGATTTGCCATCTTCCTGGCTATTAATTTGTCTTGTACCTACGCACGTGTAATGAACCTTGAGGATTGCACAAACCTGTTTTCCCTTAGCTATGTTGAGGCCTGGCTTGAGGAGGGTTATAATATGATGGAAAAAGCATTTTGGTACAGGGAATAAGCTGTTTGTTCTGTTATTAAATGCTTCTTGACTGCTTGTATTTATCTATTTAGTCTTTAACTCATAAATACTTGTTATTTATAATGTGTCTTGTAAGGAGCTCAAAATGCATTACAGATGCATCCCATTAAGACCATCTGATTCCACTGTTGATATTATTAGGTACTGTGCTATGATCATGCTTTTAATGACAAACAAAGGGGTTGAGCAACGAGGTTACAAAAATTATAGAACAAGAAAGCCATTTACTAAATCGAGATTCCTATTCAGCATTTTTAGTTCATATAATGAGATTCATTTAGTGACTCAATCTTTGTGAGAAGGAGTCATTTTGTACTTTTTTTTTTTTTTTTTTTGGTGAGGAAGATCACCTGAGCTAACATCTGTCGCCAATCGTCGTTCCCCAGTACATAGTTGTATATCCTAGTTGTAAGTCATCGTAGCTCTTCTACGTGGCATGCTGTCACAGCATGGCTTGAAGAGTGATGCGTAGGTCCACAGCCAGGATCCAAACTGTCGAAACTGGGCCACCGAAGTGGAACATGTGAACATAACCACTTGGCCATTGGGCCAGCCCCAAGCCTGCATTTATTTTGAAGGTAGTGACAGCAGAATTTGCTGACAGATTGGATGTGGGGTCTAAGAGAAAGGAGAGATTAGAATGACTTCAAAGACTTGGGCCTGAGCAAATGGAAAGACTGAATTGGTGTGAAATGAGATGGGAGGACTGTGTGGTTTGGGATGGGGTAGGAGGGATATCAACAGCTTTACAAGAATTATCCCTTTAATTATCTTAAAACTCTTTGAGGTTATAATCTCCATTCTACAGATGAGGAAACTGAAAGAGAGAGAAGTTAAGGAACTGGCCAGTGTTCCGAAGGCAAGATTTGAACACAGGTGCCTGACTCAAGACTTGTCCTCCTAACAACTATGCTGTGGTGTCTCATAATAGAACTGTTTACGACATGGCCTCAAACGTTCGTCAGCACAGAGCAGATGACACAGGATTCAATAACACAAATACAAACCAAGTAGTAGGAATCTGTAGAAGGAAACAAAGTCCAGATAAAGGAAAAGACTAAAACTCCGATTCTGAGAATAGACAATGACTCCTGTCTCTCATTGATTATTATTGGGGGGAAAAAAGCATTTTGAGTAAAGAGACTTTTTCTCTGCTCAGCTAATTGTTGATTTAAGGAAAAAACCCTAATTTTTCTAATCTGGAATTGATTCCATCTCACTTATCTAAATTGAGCATGGAGATACTTTTTTCCCCCATTTAAATGGTTTCATTTTTATTTCTAATAATTCTGGCTATTTATTTCTGTCATGATAAAAGATTTTTAAGTTTTGTATTATATACTTAGCTGTCTTCCCTTTTTATGAATATTAAAGATAATTTTAAAAGTATAGCAAAGAATTAAGAAAATACCCGAGGTTACTCTAAGAGAGAACCACGAATGATTTTTAGTATATTTCCTTTTAAAAAGTTTTCCTTCTTTAGCATTTTTAGTATTCATATTTTTGGACATTATATATGGTGGACATTGAACTATATATACAGCTTTGTATTATGCTTAGTCACTGACATGATATCCTGATATTTTCCCCATGTTATTAAATTCTTTGTGACTATAATATCCATTCATAATTCTTTTAAGCATTCCCCTGTTATTGAACTGACCCATAATTTTGTAATGTCTTTAAAGAGACTTTTTTGGGACATTACTAATATTTTCCAAATATAACCGTTTGTGTTGGGAATGAAAATATTATGGAGATTGTGCCATCTGTGTTGTGCCAATGTTGCTGTAATGTTTTTTCTGAAATGGTCATTGGTGAGAGCGAAACCTTGCCAACTGGTAAAGTCACTTCACTAGAGGTCTATGTTTCATGCTCTTTAAGAATTTGGTACCATAAACTTTGTTACAGACGTCTCTTAAAAGCAGGCAAAGAAGCGGTGTGCCCCATGCCAATATTTGTACTTTCGTTAGTCCTCTTGGAACTCTCACAGGAAGCAATAAATACAAGCCTCTCCAAATAACAATGTGTGCTTCTATTTTATTAATGATTTTTTTCCCACTAATTGGTGCTTAACTGTTTAATATCTTTCAGAGATTAGAAACTAAGCTATTGCTGTAGTCTATGATGAGCACATTGGGATATACCTGTAAACTTCACATTTGGGTATTAGCTTTGCTAAATGCTCCAGAAATATTCTGTGTTTTCTTATGTATAGTGAATATATTCTCATATTTATTTCTGTTTCTACTTGAACAGATTCTTGATTTGAATATAAAATGGCTTCAATAGCAATGATCAATCTATGACGACACTATGTACCTACTTTATTTTTACCTAAAAAGAAAGAAATTTAAATCTCACCAATTTTTGTGAAGTATTTGTGGTAGCTCATGCTTAATCAAGTCTCAAATACCCAAAAAAATAAGTTTTAGCTTATTTAACCTGATTGATTAAAGAGGTAATTAGTTAAGAGCAAACTGTATCTGAGAAAAACTCCTATATGATTAGATGGCCAATTTTAAAAGTTGAATATGAAAAAGATATATACCTAGCATTAAGATTATGTTAAGTAGAATTCAATCTTTGATAATTTATACATTTATTTTTTGAATTATAAAAGATTTAAACTATACAACTGCTCTTATTGTGGGTATTTTGAAGTGTACTGAGAAAAACTGAAGAATATTAGAGTTGGAAGGGCATATAAACTTAATCTAGTAAAAACTTATTGGAAGTTTGAAGTCAGATAACACAGACTCAGAAATAAGCTCCAAGTTGTCTGACCTCTCATTCGTGGATTTTTCCCACTATCTTATACCACTCACAAAAGTTAACTCAAAATGGATTAAGGACTTAAATGTGAGACCTAAAACCACGCAACTCCTCACAGAA